ACATGTGACAGTATAGAAACACTACTGTATGTGGATGGTATTTTTTTATGTAGATGGTATTTTGTATGTAAACATGTGACAGTAGAAACACTACTGTATGTAGATGGTATTTTATATGTAAACTTGAGACAGTATAGAAACACTACTGTATGTAGATGGTATTTTGTATGTAAACATGTGACAGTAGAAACACTACTGTATGTAGATGGTATTTTGTATGTAAACATGAGACAGTTGGATGTGACATTCACACTGTTGCTAAAGCTCCTTCAGTAATGCCCTTTGAATTGATGAAGACAGTTAACATAGGTAATGATGAAGAACTGAGAGTTATGATAATGTTGGAGACTGATTCATTCTCCTACACAATCTATTTACATACAATCTCAATATATATATATGTAGATGTCTTATCTCCACTGGCAAGATTTCCATTTTTGGATTGCAAATCAATTGGTCACAGTAACCATGGTATCAAAACCCTATTGAACCAATCGTGTAATAGGCTAGTGGTGTTTTAACTGTATAATGATGTGTATTAGACTGGAGGATGACAGGTCTGTGTTGTGGAGGGGGACCAAGCTACACCTCCATACATACACACAACCAGACAGAATGACCTAATCTAGGCCAACTCAGCTAGGTCACCATGTCTGGGTCATTCACATTCTTAGGGGCTCCCCACAGGGAAATCCAGAATATATACAAACAACATAGGAAAAACAATGAAAGAATGATTGATTCTGAGTTTGATAGACACTGAATCACTTTCTAAAATAAGATACTTCAAAGATAAAATGTAATAGATTGAACAGCAATTTATCACTTGAACTAGATAGTAAATAGAATGTATCAATTAGTCTAGAGAATTATTAGAATGTATTAATTAGTCTAGAAAATTATTAGAATGTATTAATTAGTTTAGAAAATTATTAGAATGTATTAATTAGTATTATCAGAATGTATCAATTAGAAAATTATTAGAATGTATCAATTAGTGTATCAATTAGTAAAATTATTAGAATGTATTAATTAGTCAGAATATTAATTAGAAAATTATTACAATGTATCAATTAGTATAGAAAATTATTAGAATGTATTAATTAGTATAGAAAATTATTAGAATGTATTAATTAGTAGAAAATTATTACAATGTATTATATAGAAAATTATTAGTGTATCAAAAATTATTAGAATGTATTAAAAAAAATTATTAGAATGTATCACTGTACCTAGAAATAAGTACAATATATCACTGTAACTACAAAATTAATACTATGTAATGAAGTAGAATATCATATACTGAGCACTAAAAGGTCTGATCAAATTTTAAAAAAATCTTTTTCAACAATGACACAAAATAAATCTGATTTGTACATGACCCAAAAGTAATATGCAGTGACGCAAAGTGAGAAAAATATTTGGTAATTATAGGCCATCATTTACATATATGTTTTTTCAAAGACAGAATACACACTGTAACAAAAGGAATTCAATTAGACTAATAAACAACTAGGCTTCATCTTTAGTGACTTTGGTATCAATAAAAAATACAGATTTATATATATTCCAGTGTGTTTAGATTTTGTAATGACCAGTTTTATCCTAAGGAGCCTCAATGATATTGTGTTGTTTTTTCCATTTCAATCAAAAAGCATTTGAGTGGAATATGGCTTAATTTGGTCTGAAGCATCTGTGGGGACAGGGCAATCAATTTTGCATCAATAATGGGTTTTGCCCCCTTGGGATAGAGGGGTGGGGCAATTGGAAAAAGAGATTTGCTTTGAAATTCTTGTTTTGTTGAGGTGAAGGTATTTTAACCAAATTTATTTAAATGGTTGGTCTTGTGCCTTCTCTCCTGAGGTTGGGGCCTGAAAGGGGAAATTTCTTCAGAATCCATCATCTGAAGAAATCACTGTTAAATGGTTGATCTGACACCTTCAGGGCAGGGCAGGGCAGGGTGAGTCCACATATATTAATGTATCAGTTTAAAATCCTTCTTTTGGGATGAGAGTGTTTCTACTAAGTTAACTCAGAATTCGAAGTAATCTGGGGGAAAGGAAACATATTTTGTATAAATGGTGGTCTTGGCCTTCTGGGGCATTAAGGATGGATCCCAAAATGGTATGTATAGTAAATTCTTTAAAAAAGTTCTTTTTCCGAAGGAATGTTAGGATTTAAGGAATGACAGATAAGTGTACTTGTCTTTGTTTAAACAGTTGGTACCCTTAAGGACCTGATACAGGAACTAGAAACTCACTTTAAAAGCCTTCTGTTTGGATGGAGGTAAATTTGTTTAGATGCGTTCTGTGGTTAACGGGAAGTTATTTCGTAAAATTTTGGTTCTTTGTCCTCTTGTGCCTGAGGGAACCAATAGGGGAAATTCAGCTAGATTTCATAATTTCTTCAATATAGAAATGACAGAATTGATTAAAATTTTGTCTGAAACTTATTTAGATGAAGGGAACTCTGTTTACTTTAAAGGACAAGTCAGGTCCTCCTACAGGCTGAGACAACACCTAAACACTCTTCTTAGCCTTGGGTGAATGAAACTCAATTTTATGTAAGCAATGTGTCTAGAGTTGCAAGGTCCAATACATTGTATAAGAAACAGAATTAAGAGTTTGAAATCATTGTTCGGTTTTGGTGAAAGACATATTTTGTCATAATTCATTTTGAAAATTTCTCTCCTTTTGGAGAAAAAAGGAACAATAGTAAATAAAACTGTTTTCAAGTAAAAGTGGAAATGTCCAGGTGAGTGATTCAGACCCCAAAAAGCTCTCTTCTTTATGTATGGTAAGATAGTGGTCAGATGCATGATTTTGTTAATGTTTAGTGGGGAGAATCTTGTACTGAAATATAAAGGTCAGACTTGTGTTTGGTGCTGAGAATCTTGTACTGAAATATAATGGTCAGACTTGTGTTTAGCACTGAGAACCTTGTACTGAAATATAATGGTCAGACTTGTGTTTGGTGCTGAGAATCTTGTACTGAAATATAATGGTCAGACTTGTGTTTGGTGCTGAGAATCTTGTACTGAAATATAATGGTCAGACTTGTGTTTGGTGCTGAGAATCTTGTACTGAAATATAAAGGTCAGACTTGTGTTTAGCACTGAGAACCTTGTACTGAAATATAATGGTCAGACTTGTGTTTGGTGCTGAGAACCTTGTACTGAAATATAATGGTCAGACTTGTGTTTAGCACTGAGAACCTTGTACTGAAATATAATGGTCAGACTTGTGTTTGGTGCTGAGAGTCTTGTACTGAAATATAAAGGTCAGACTTGTGTTTGGTGCTGAGAATCTTGTACTGAAATATAAAGGTCAGACTTGTGTTTGGTGCTGAGAATCTTGTACTGAAATATAAAGGTCAGACTTGTGTTTGGTGCTGAGAATCTGAGAATCTTGTACTGAAATATAATGGTCAGACTTGTGTTTGGTACTGAGAATCTTGTACTGAAATATAATGGTCAGACTTGTGTTTGGTGCTGAGAATCTTGTTCTGAAATATAATGGTCAGACTTGTGTTTGGTACTGAGAATCTTGTACTGAAATATAATGGTCAGACTTGTGTTTGGTGCTGAGAATCTTGTACTGAAATATAAAGGTCAGACTTGTGTTTGGTGCTGAGAATCTTGTACTGTAATATAATGGTCAGACTTGTGTTTGGTGCTGAGAATCTTGTACTGAAATATAATGGTCAGACTCGTGTTTAGTGAGAACCTTGTACTGAAATATAAAGGTCAGACTTGTGTTTGGTGCTGAGAATCTTGTACTGAAATATAATGGTCAGACTTGTGTTTGGTGCTGAGAATCTTGTACTGAAATATAATGGTCAGACTTGTGTTTGGTGCTGAGAATCTTGTACTGAAATATAATGGTCAGACTTGTGTTTGGTGCTGAGAATCTTGTACTGAAATATAATGGTCAGACTTGTGTTTGGTGCTGAGAATCTTGTACTGAAATATAAAGGTCAGACTTGTGTTTGGTGCTGAGAATCTTGTACTGAAATATAATGGTCAGACTCGTGTTTAGCACTGAGAACCTTGTACTGAAATATAAAGGTCAGACTTGTGTTTGGTGCTGAGAAACTTGTACTGAAATATAATGGTCAGACTTGTGTTTGGTGCTGAGAAACTTGTACTGAAATATAATGGTCAGATGCCTGTTAACAGGTGTTCCCTGCAGAGAGTAATAAGTCTGGGTTGCTGAATATCGATTGTCCATCCTATGGTGTTAAGATAGGGCTTATGTAATGTCTCAATCAATGGTGTATACCAGGCAAGGCGAAGCACCACCTAGACCAATATCTAATCCATTTTTTATACCACAAAATTTTTACTTGTTCAACAATTGGCTTAAGAAACACTACAAAGTATGAATATTAAATTTGAGCTGGACGTCTTTTTCTCCTGAACAGCTTTAATATTAAATTTTTCTTTTACATGTGATTTGATATATGAAAATATCTTATATTTAAAATATTTGAAAATGTGATGAATGTATCTATGATAACAGGAAAATATAATACCATCAGATTTATATGTTATAATGGTGACTAATTGTTATGTTTTTCAGTTGCTTTGTGTCAATGATTTCAATGTCTCTATTGTGTCTCTACCAAAAACACACCGTTTTATGGCCCCTCTATTTTATGTGGTGCTGGGGTCCTAAAATATATTCCTTTTCTGTTTGTTTAACACTCTCAAGGCGAATTTGGTCCATATATCATATAGTATCATAACATCATGTCCTACACCTGATTGGATTCTGTTTTGCATGGGCGTCATTGATGTCTTAAAAGATATTTTCTGGTTTCTAAGGTTTCTCCTCATTTTACAGGAAAACAATTTAAAATCCTTTAGACTTTTGCGTTTGAATGGGCCTATGAGTGATATTGATGACAATTATTAACTGTAACTTAGTTCCAATGATAATGACTCTGATAGATGTTTTTGATATTTTCACAGTTTAACATTCAGTTTCTTTTGTCTTTAGGTCCCTGGATGGTCGACTGCAGGTTTCACATCGGAAGGGGCTTCCTCATGTTATATACTGTCGCCTATGGCGATGGCCCGACCTCCAGAATCATCAAGAACTTAAAGCTATTGAACAGTGCGAGTACGCCTTTTACCTCAAGAGGGATGAAGTGTGTGTCAATCCTTACCACTATGTGAGGGTGGAAGCCCCAGGTAATATCACAAAGTTCAAGGTCATTGTTACTTTTGATTTGTCAGTCCTTAGTAATATGTGAGGGTGGAAGCCCCAGGTAATATCACAAAGTTCAAGGTCATTGTTACTTTTGATTTGTCAGTCCTTAGTAATATGTGAGGGTGGAAGCCCCAGGTAATATCACACAGTTCAAGGTCATTGTTAGTTATGATTTGTCAATTTTCCCCATTATGCCAGGGAGGAGGTCCCAGGTAAAATTACAAAGTTCAAGGTCAATGTTATTTTGATTTGTGAATATATAACCATTGTTACTTGTGTGAGAGTGGAAGCCCCAGTCACACAGTTAATATCATTTGTCTTAGTTATGAAGGTAATATCAAAAGTTCAAGGTCATAATTTGTCATAATTTGTCAAACTTTAAGGTCATTGTTACTTTTGATTTGTCAGTCCTTAGTAATATGTGAGGATGGAGGCCCCAGATGATATCACACAGTTCAAGGTCAGTGTTAATTATGATTAACAATCCTCAGCAGTATGTGAAGGTTTAAAGGTGAGTTATAGGTTGAAGGATAAATCAAGTGTTAAGTATGTAACAAGATATTTCAGTGCTCACTAGGATCAAAGCTGGGGCATTCAGCCCATTTGTCTGATAAACTAAAGAGGACAGTATATTGCAGGTATTTACCAGATAATAGGTATTTATGTAACATGAGGAATGGTCATCTGATATTTAATGTCACATCTGTAATGCTAATGTTGCTGCTGTCGGTAAACTCTGTTGTTATTTAGTCTGTTCATTATAAATTCTGTGATGTACCTGACATCTTTGAACTATAATTGTCTCCTTTTGTTGCCAGTGCTGCCCCCTGTGTTGGTGCCTCGTCACACTGAGGTTCCAGACAAACTGCCACAGTTAGAAGACTATGATGCCATGACAGTGCCCGGCAACACAGATTTCCCGACGGGCAGCAATGAAATGTTCAATATCCCAGGTAATTATCTCCATTTTTTTGGCGGTGCCACTTCACAAATTATTCAATTTACAAAATTAAAAGATCATCATGGATGGTAGTTATCTCCCTCAAACAATTGAGGGAAACAAAATGGCCTTGACCTATATTCAAAATCACATTCTTCAAAGTTGTTTGATAAACACTAGTTTTGATCAAACAGGAAACCTAGGATCATGATTTACTTTGGATGATGCCTCACAAAACATACAAAAAATGACTTTGACCCAGAGTTAAGGTCACAGTGGTCAAATTTGTTAAAGCACTGATACAAAATTTTCAGTTTAACCAGAAGGCCTAGAATCATGATTTTCAACTTTAAGGTTCTGCAAAAGTTTGTAAAGGTAATGACATTGACCTGTATGCAAGGTCATCAGTTTTAAGATTGTTAAAATTCTCAAATGGCTTCACCTGTCAATCACTTGTTATGATTGAAGTCATCAATGGGGTAAACATTCTTATTTCATAGTTTGGTAAGATTTGTTGTAGGGTTTGGATTAAAGGAATAGGTGTAGGGAAAGGGGATAAAGGGATGGGATGGGGATAAGGGATAAAAGAATAGGGGTAGGGAAAGGGGATAAAGGGATGGGTTGGGGATAAGGGTTAAAGGAATAGGGGTAGGGAAAGGGGACAAAGGGATGGGTTGGGGATAAGGGATAAAGGAATAGGGGCAGGGAAAGGGGATAAAGGGATGGGATGGGGATAAGGGATAAAGGAATAGGGGTAGGGAAAGGGGATAAAGGGATGGGTTGGGGATAAGGGATAAAGGGATAGGGAAAGTGGATAAAGGGATGGGATGGGGATAAGGGTTAAAGGAATAGGGGTAGGGAAAGGGGATAAAGGGATGGGTTGGGGATAAGGGTTAAAGGAAAAAGGGGTAGGGAAAGGGGATAAAGGGATGGGTTGGGGATAAGGGTTAAAGGAATAGGGGTAGGGATACAGAATAAAGGGATAGGAGCGGGGATTGGGGAGTAAAGGATAGGGATGGGGATAGGGGATAAATGGATGGGGTTGGGGATACAAGAATAGGGGGTGGGGATACCGAATAAAGGGATAGGGGTGGGGATAGGGGATAAAGGGATAGGGGATACAAGGATAGGGGGTGGGGATACCGAATAAAGGGATAGAGAATAAAGGAATAGGGGATACAAGGAATAGGGGATACAAGGAAAGGGGGTGGGGATACGGAATACAGTGATAGGGGTGGGGATAAAGGGATACAGGGAATGGGGATGGAGGAATTGGGGATGAGTGATACTTGGAAAACGGTTGGGGAATACAGAGGATAGTGGGTGAGTAATACAGGGGATCGGGTTTAGAGGATACAGGGGATAAGGGTACGTGGGAAGCATAGTATTAAGAGTTTGGGATTGAGGGGATGGGGAGGTGTCTTCCAGGTAGGTTGAACTATAAGGTGCTTATATGCTTGAGCTATCATGAGTACAATATTGTAAGATTTACATTTAGATAAGATATTTCTTTCATCATATTTTTCTATGTAAATGGTATATAATTATGAGGCATCACCCTTGTTGAATTGCACTTCTGGGCAAAACAAATTCATCTTCGAGAGTAAATTGCAAACTGTATGTACATTGCTTATGAATATTCAGGTGATTTATGTGAATTTGATAAAAGTTGTGAATAATCATCATTATGTGCCTGATGTGAATATTAATGTGGTTCTATGAATATTAATGAAACAGGGTCACTGACAGAGAAATCAGTGGGTATGAAGTGGTGACATAACAGGCTTAGCAGTTACATAGAGAAATATAGATTTTTTTCTGGGAATAGAGAATGAAGGTAGACATATTGGCCCAGAGCTGCTGTACACACCAGACTCCTCAGTACACACTGTATATACAACACACTCAAGCCTAGCCTAGCTAGCTTTACTGAAAATTTATGATAGCTGTTTCTTTTTAACATTTTATATTTTTCTTTGATAACTGAAAATAAGAAATAAATATTATTGGATAGAATTGGTACACACAGATAAAAGATACTGAAAATATTTTTTGTCTTTTTTTTGTTATATATTTTTTGGTTGGGATTGATTTGAGTGTATGAAAGCTGATGTAGACTACTGCAATAGGTATATTGCCTGACTGTGTGTGTCTGGGTCGTGTGTACGTGTGTGGCTGGAGATGGAATATAGATTTTTGTGTTGTTATGCTGAGGCTGTGTGTAGACAGAGGATCCATGTGTGTTGTATACATGTCAAGTTGACCGTGGATTGTTGATAGTCACGCTGTAGCACCCCCCCACGGAGATCCCCCCTCCTACGGACAGGTGGGCCCTGTTTCCAGTGTTTGGCCCCTGTGTGTGTTATCTGGGAGATAGGGTTGCTACAGACACCTGTCATCAGGAATCTACCTGTACTCTTACACTACAGATATACTGCTATATTAGGTAAACAGTACTGACATGGACAACAGCATATACTTAAACCATACTGATCAATTGTGGATTGCAGCATTACTGTAGCATATATTACAACTGTATTGAATTAGAGAGCAGTATATACTGAAACGTTACTGACATTGATATCAACATATAACTCATCAATACTTATACTGACTACAGCATATACTGAAACAGTACTGATGAACAGTGAGGATTTGCCAGCAGTCTATACTGAAACTGTACTGATTTAATGTGGACTGCAGGAGTTCTGAAGTACTGCTATAACATTACCAATGTGTATACTTATTCAAAACAGATGTTGTCACTTCTGATGTCATTTTGACAGCAGCATATACTGAACCACTAAAGAAATCAGTTTGACAACAGCATATACTGAACTACTACAGAAATCAGTTTGACAGCAGCATATACTGAACTACTACAAAAATCAGTTTGACAGCAGCATATACTGAACTACTACAGAAATCAGTTTGACAACAGCATATACTGAACTACTACAGAAATCAGTTTGACATCAATGTTTACTGACATAAACTTAACTCAATTCTCTACTTTACAACAGCAAGGGATATATATATATATATCATATGAACACATTACTTGGACTGTTATAGAAAATTGATAACATTGTAAGAGTTAATTGTGAATTTTCAAGTCCACCCTTACCTCAGAAACTGTTGACCAACACCTAGGGGAAAGACAGGTGCTGTTACCCCAAGGAACCCCATCAGGGGAAAGACAGGTGCTGTTACCCCAAGGAACCCCACCAAGGGGAAATCGAGGTGCTATTACCCCAAGGAACCCTGCCTAAGGGGAAGACAGGTGTTCTAATCTCTAGCATTTGCTGTTGCTACAGAACACAATACAAAACTCCTAGGACTGGTGTTTACAACTAAACCTAAAGGAATCACTGTTACCACCCTGCAAACCCACACTTTTGTACCTAGAGGACTTTTGGGTGTGACACTATGGACAAGATGCATTGTTGGTCAGCCATTGACTGGGGTTAAGGATGATGGCTATACATTGTCTGGCCAGGGACCCCAGCAACATGCCGCTGTGTGTGCACGTGTGCAGCAGTACCAGTGGTAAGCAAGCCAGCAAGGGCAGGATAAACAGGTGGAGAGTGTTTTTGTTGGGAGGGAGTAGACAAGATCGCAGGGGTAGGATACAGATGAGGAAGGGGTAAGCAAGTCAGCAGGGACAGGTACAGGTGGAGTTGTGGGAGAGGGGTAAGCAAGTCAGCAGGAACAGGTACAGGTGGAGTTGTGGGAGAGGGGTAAGCAAGTCAGCAGGAACAGGTACAGGTGGAGTTGTGGGAGAGGGGTAAGCAAGCCAGCAGGGACAATATACAGGTGGAGTTGTGGGGGAGGGATAAGCAAGCCAGCAGGGACAAGATACAGGTGGAGTTGTGGGGGAGGGGTAAGCAAGCCAGCAGGGACAATGTACAGGTGGAGTTGTGGGGGAGGGGTAAGCAAGCCAGCAGGGACAAGTACAGGTGGAGTTGTGGGGGAGGGGTAAGCAAGCCAGCAGGGACAATGTACAGGTGGAGTTGTGGGGGAGGGGTAAGCAAGCCAGGGAGGGGTAAGCAAGCCAGCAGGGACAATGTACAGGTGGAGTTGTGGGGGAGGGATAAGCAAGCCAGCAGGGACAATGTACAGGTGGAGTTGTGGGGGAGGGGTAAGCAAGCCAGCAGGCACAATGTACAGGTGGAGTTGTGGGGGAGGGGTAAGCAAGCCAGCAGGGACAATGTACAGGTGGAGTTGTGGGGGAGGGGTAAGCAAGCCAGCAGGGACAATGTACAGGTGGAGTTGTGGGGGAGGGGTAAGCAAGCCAGCAGGGACAATGTACAGGTGGAGTTGTGGGGGAGGGGTAAGCAAGCCAGCAGGGACAATGTACAGGTGGAGTTGTGGGGGAGGGGTAAGCAAGTCAGCAGGGACAGGTACAGGTGCAGTTGTGGGAGAGGCGTAAGCAAGCCAGCAGGGACAATGTACAGATGGAGTTGTGGGGGAGGGGTAAGCAAGTCAGCAGGGACAATGTACAGGTGGAGTTGTGGGGGAGGGGTAAGCAAGTCAGCAGGGACAAGATACAGGTGGAGTTGTGGGGGAGAGGTAAGCAAGCCAGCAGGGACAATGTACAGATGGAGTTGTGGGGGAGGGGCAAGCAAGTCAGCAGGGACAATGTACAGGTGGAGTTGTGGGGGAGGGGTAAGCAATTCAGCAGGAACAGGTACAGGTGGAGTTGTGGGGGAGGGGTAAGCAAGTCAGAAGGGGTAGAATACAGGTGGAGTTGTGGGGGAGGGATAAGCAAGTCAGCATGGACAGGTACAGGTGGAGTTGTGGGGGAGGGGTAAGCAATTCAGCATGGACAGGGACAAGTGGATTTGTGGGGGAGGGGTAAGCAAGTCAGCAGGGACAGGTACAGATGGAATTGTTTGGGAGGGGTAAGCAAGTCAGCAGGAACAGGTACAGGTGGAGATGTGGGGGATGGGTAAGCAATTCAGCATGGACAGGTACAGGTGGAGTTGTGGGGGAGGGGTAAGCAAGTCAGCA